ATAACAAAATCACGCCTTAAAAGGATTAACCCAAAAACTGTCTAAGATTACTGATAAGAGAAATAGGTAATGGGGAGTTGAAGATTTTCCAGGCACTGTATACTAACCTCACAGATGATATCAGCAATGATCTGAACTATAAAAATGTTGCCTTTATATAAATTGAAAGTTAATAAATAGTTATTTGTGTAACTAGTGGGCAAAGTGGCACTTTGCTGCACACGAGAGCAGTGGAATGATCTCGAGTGCAGCAAAAGCCTTTTGCACTCGTGTTACACATTATATTTTTCCTACAGTCACTATAAAGCATATTAATAATTTATTAGTCTTTCAAACACTATACAACACGTTTTTAGGTTCAGCTGGCAACACAAATAGGTGCTCTAGAGAAAGTAGTCACCGGTCCGTATCACACCGCTATTTTTTCCTCGGCAAGCAATGTGCTCCGCGACTTGAGAAAATAGTTCCATATGTTTTTGTAATTTGAAGTGGTTTCCACGCCTAAAAAATGCTTTAAAGGTATTTTCTTGTTTATTAAGATCGTAGGAATGTTTTAAAAACGTTTAAAAGAAAAGACCAGAAAGTTCAGAAATACCGAAACTATAAACACGCAATGACAGGTTAAATCGTAGTTATAACAGTCAATCAGCTGCTCATAGTAGGCCTATTATTATTTTTAAGTCTTACCAACTTATTTCCAATCGTACACGGATTACGTGCATAATAGAACCACGCTGTTTTGTGTTGTTTCGTTGCAATCCTGATGTGCGCCAAAGTATAAACATGCAGCAATTAGCATGCTTTCTGTACTATAAACAGTAAAAGGAAGCCAACTTTGTTGGGTGACTGTAGGAAAATAATATTTTGTTGCTAGCACAATACAATGCTGTTAAAAATAGTATATTTCATACCTATGCCGTAAAGAGAGAAGCAAAAACTGAGTTTACAACAGCAGGCTTTTTACTCTGAAGGGAAGTTCTTCTTGTACTGGGGAAATCCGACGACTGGGCGGCTTTGATGCAAAAATCTAAAGGGACAAGGGTACCATTCGGGATCTTGAGCCTATGACTTCACTGGAGATCCGTTGGCGTCAGGTGGCACTCAGGGTCGCTTCTCCGTACCACACAGGGTCCGAACCGGCCGTTATTGCGATTTCTTGAGTTATCACTGTCAAACTAGATATAGGCTATACATATAAATAATAAATATAAAATAAAATTTATATATGGCTTTTTCGCCATACTGCAGCAAAACAGCTGTTTTTAATGTGTCTTGTCTTAAGTAGCATTTTTGAGTGAAAATTTAAAAACGTACGTTTTCAGGAAAAGCACTTTGCAAATTTTTTCCCCTTTTTTTCAAAACTTTTATTATTTTTTTTTATTTCATTAACATTTTAAGTTTTATAAAATGTCCATGGTAACGCAATATCTTTGGTAGTTTTTTTTTAAAGAGCATCTTTAGTGGAAAAACACAAAATCCTGTCACGACCATTACAGACGTTTAAATGAATATTAAAAATAGTTAATACTATTTTTATAACTATGTTTTGCTATAAACTAATTTACTTTTATGACCATTATACAATAAAAAGGTCACTGAGCTTTTGGTATATTTGGTCTTTCTAGAAAAAATAAAAAAACTCAAAAAATTGAAAAAAAAGCCAATAAAATCTTTTTAAGTATGTATAACTCTGAAAAAACTTACCTGAGACCCGAAAAATCGTTATGTTTGTATAGAGGTGTGATTCTTTTGTATATAGAACATTGAACAATATTTTAATTTTTGAAATTTTTATGATAGAAATCATAAACGTGATGGTCAGGGACAAGCGGTACGGTCGTGAATTTTCTGAAATAATCTAAATCTTTCTAAACAATCCTTCAATTATACTGTTTGTTAGTTATAATAAAAATGCGTGTTTCAATTGAACTAAACTGTCCAATTTACAATTATATTAAAGTTATTGCCACGACCAAACACACTATAATCCATAAGGCTGGATTGGTCGTGAAAAAACCCACGATGGTCGTGAAACTTTGGTCGTGAAATTACGTGTTATTTGGCTCTGTTCTGGCGGTAACCCTGCACCTCATGTTCGAGGATACAAAGTGGACTTCTAGATTAATCTAGCAATTGAAATATCTTATAAACAAAAATTAACACCATGTCTACTTCATCGAATGACTACGTACGGTCATGGACACACCAAAATTACAAAAAACACAATCTTTCCTTTATTAATCTTCTAATTCCTAATTTCAACTCGAAACGACCGGCACTACAATCCTGACGTACACCCCGAACTATCTCTAAAACCAAATGACTCCATCGACGCCTGGCTTGCCACTGTCGTGCTCCAAAGTAGAAAATTTTTCCCAAATGGTCGTGACGCCAAATCGAGGGACAGACTTATTTCGTCATGGTAGTCAGTTTGCAATGACAATAAAATTATAATATGCTCCTTTTTTTGTAAGTTTAATAACCATTGATGACATAAAAATATGGCTTTATATATTTCGGCATGAATAATTAGTCTAAAAACAGCGTGAAAATTGGAAAATGTACCCTAGGGACACGTCATGGTCGTGAATTTCGAGACTTTAATACCTAGAACCTATTTAAAACCAAATAAATGTGTGTAACATGTTGCCCCCGTCCCAAAAAATATTAAAACACATAATAATAAACTACAAATCCAGTATCTACGAAGTAAAAGGCCAGGGACATGAAAACGTACGTTTTTAAATTTTCACTCTTTTACTCTCTAGGGAGTGAAGACGTTTTTAGCCCCTGGGGAGTAAAAATCAGCTGTTGCCAAATCTGTTGTAAATTTTTAGTGTGATTAAACAATTGCATGTATAAAAAGTATCTTAGCGTATTATTTGAAAAGAGCCTGGCAGTATAACTTATGGAACTTTATTAAAGAATTTAATTTTTAACTTAATAATAGGCTAAATACCCCTGTTTTGGTTTCGTTGTTGTCTTGTTTGTTGTCTTTTTCTGAAGCTCATTTATAGGCTACTCTACTTTAAAAAAATTTTTGTCATAGGTTGTTTTTTTATTAACTGTTTGTAGTATGCATTGTTTACCTTGTACTTATGCTTTTGTTCCGTGGAAATCAATATTAAATTAAGAAGGTTATTTATATTCTTATTTATTTAACATATATTTATATACATTTGTTTCTTTTAAAATTATTTATAGAAGGTTTAATTTAGTAAGATTAAAATTAAGTGCAAACCGAACGGACGATTTAACCATTGTTTCTAAAAGTGTAATTTTCAACCTGTGAATGTAGCCTATATAAAAATACCTAAATAAAACACTAATTCATTTCATTCATCAAAAGTATGTATCGATTGTTTAAATGATTTCAGTTTATTGATGCCTTATTGTTAATATTTTGACATACCGTATCGATAGTATAGGCCTAATGTAGGGTACACTAACACAATCGTAAATATACAAAACGATTGAATTACTTACTAAAAAGCAGCTTGTTTCCAATTGAAAATTAAATTCAAAACAAGCTGGAAGTGTTTTTGAGCAGTTATCTTTTTATGATATTTTAAGTCCCAAGGTACAATGGACATTCCTCCTTTTTACCCTGTAGCCTATGTCCTTTCTTCCCTTCCGGTGTCTTCATATACGTTTTCTGCTTCAGTGATCAATGTAACTTAGAATATAAAGATATAAGTTAAACATATATTTTTTCCAGCAATGCTTTTAAAGGTAGGCTAAAGTAGCAAAATGTTTGCAAATTTTTGGATTAAGTTATGCAAATTAGAAATTTTGAAAGCAACCCACAAGAAAACCACAAAATAATTTGTTTAGGCCTACACATTTGATCTAGGCCTAGATGTAAAGGTGGTGTGAAATGTGATTCCCTGCATTTAAATATCAACGTTTTTAAAATACTCATGGTAGTTAAAGAAAATATACATAGGCCTACGCCTAGGTACATTTTTTAAAATTAGGTAGGCCTACCATTTTTTCTATAGGTAATAATTTTAAGCATCAATAGTAAATAAATATGGTACTGCCCCTAATAGAAAAATAAAATATCTTTCTGAAAATATAAAGTTAACTTACATGCAGTTGAATATTCTAAAATTTCTGAGTAGGTAATTGACGTCTATGTAAAATTTAAATTTTTTTTTTGAAAACATAACTTTAATGACATTTTCAAAATCATCCTAAAATTTTTACAACCAACCTCATAGGCTAACTTAAAAGATTTGGAGGGAATATATAGTTTCAGAATGTTGTAATATAGTACAGAAGTAATATCGATCACCAAAAACATATTCTTTAGGTGGATACACTTCCATATCTGTTGGCACAAACAACCGAATGAGTAATATTGATTATTCGATTGTTTAATTTGATATATCGTTTGCTTAGTTAAACTTAGGTTAGGTTAACCTTACCTAACTAATTAAACGATGTATCAAACAATCGATATATCGATCGATATTTTCATTCGGTTGTTTGTGCCAACAGATATGGAAGTGTACCCTTTCTAGTTTTTCAAACTATGTTTCTCGCTGGGCCTACATAGTAATACTCGCTCAATAATGTTTTATATGAAAATGACTCAGAATTTCAATCTTCCAACAGGTAGGGCTATAAGATTCATGTTGGTTTAAAACTGTTTTCATATTTTAATGATAGAAAAACCTGACCCATGTTGGCTTGGTCAATAATCAACCAGCGCCAGATCTACGGTTAAAAAAAAAATATAGGTACCTAAGTTATTGATAATGATGATGTTTTGATTTCCTGTAAGACTGAGCCTTTGGAGCATAGGCCTGAATAACACCCGCAAAACAGGTACGTAAGTGTAGGCCTATTTTATTTAGACATAGACATTAAAATTATAGGCTATGGCTACAAGGATAAGTAAATTTTCGAGCAGGCCAATACATTCTCGAATAATTTTATGACTAAGACAAAAAATGGTAGCCTAAATTACTGTAAAGGCCAATCAAAAGTCATGATGGACCAAAAAATACTTGTAATATACATTTAATAATTTATACAAAACTTACAATATTAGCTACTTCATCAATTCTGCTGAAATCATTTCTGCTGAGTCGAATTCCCATTGTAACGGTTATTTTCATCATCTGATTCCTCACTTCTTCTCAATGTGTGGATATTGCCGAAATTTGATGTAGACCTTTTAGACCCCGAGGATTTACCACTGAAGTTACTGCTTCCTCCTTCATTGTTTATTCTCCTTGAGGTCCTATTATTTCGAGAGAAGTATGTATTCCAATAACCAAGTAAAAAGTCTTTAACATATAACAGCATGGGGGTGATTTTGCCAAAAACAATTGACAAAGCATACTGAAACAATCTTGAAACACTACCATTGCCATTAAATTGGGCAACATTCTTATCAACAACCATAACTACTCCATTGGGAGTTAAATCCAGAGCTTGCAGACTTTTTCCATAATCTTCAGAAGAGAAGACAGCATGGTGATAGGTTTTTAAGTCAAAATTTGTCATGTTATACTTAACATTGATAAAGTTGTAAACTTCTTGAAGGCAAGCATCTTTTTCAAAAGATTGTTTATCTTTCGAGCCATCAGGCAGACGAATTTGAAGCTCTGTCAATGTAGATCCAATATATTCGTCCCGTTTTCTTATTCTTGTGGTACTGGAGTCAACTAAAGGAATTTTATTTTCAAAAGATGATGATTCATTAGGAGTTTGAGATGAGAATGTAAGCTTATTGTCTGTCCCATTTGAGGCATGTACGTATGTTTGGTCAAAACGAAAAAACTTTGTCATCTCACTTTTAGAAACCGCATTCAGTTTACAGCATGAACAGATTGAGTCAAATGCTTGACAAAGAGTTTCTTCATTGACAACATCTTCGTTAATTAGAGGGATTCCTTCTGCATTCACAGCAAAGAGACTAATCGGGCCTTTTATCTCTGGTCTGTATAGTTCCTTAAACTGAGTGAACTGTGTAGTACCTTGTCTTATTTTGAATGCTATTAAATCGTCATTTTTCTTTTCCAACATCTTCATGGCAGATTCTACATAACGGTGCAGTTCTTGTTGGTTTCCAGAGTCATCTTCAATGTAGTATATAATAACCCTATGGCCACTCAGCAAATCTGAAATACTCTCTACTTCATTGAAAACCATTTTCCCAACTTTCCTTGGAATTGTAAAATCAGCAAATACCCTCAATTGTAGAGCTGCTTTGATTATAGGCCTAGTTGACAATAACAACTGTTTAAGTTATGCATGTGACAAATAATAGAACTAGGTATCGTAGTGAGCCTCTTCAAACTATTATTTACTTATATTACCTTTCTGAAGAGACTAGGCCTAGGTCTTGTAAGATTGGGTACGATATGTGGCCAAACAATTTCAAGAGGTAGGCCTATTTTAAATTTAAGATCCATACCAAACGTAGATTTAATAAAATAAAGTCATCCTTGTTTGCATAATGGCCTACAAACAACACACGAAACACTATTATAATATTTCTGTACGACTACGAGTATGATGACATTGACAATTTTGACAACGACAGTCGACAACACTGACAACACTGCAACACTCAGACAACATTGAAAACGAATCCAATTGAGTTGAGAACGATTAGAGAAAGACTAGGTGGTAGCGTAGCAGCTAGCAGCAGACATAGCGACATAGCAGTATTTTCCTGCCTCCAAAGAATCCACTATAATTTTTTAATCATGTAGTTAAAGTGTAATGTGTAAAATGTAAGATATACAATCATGTAATCAAAATGTAATGTCAATATTATGATTTAGATTTTAGCTAATTTCCTATAGGGAATAACAAGCTATTACTGTAGGAGTACTCATGGTAAGACCTGGATCCGGGATCGATTTACTTTTTCGTGTGGAGGCCCTAGAGGCCAAAAACACCACCTGTTCAAATTCATGCTATATATATATACTACAGTAGCTGTACCCGTGGGCTTTGTCCCATTTAACTTCATACGTGAGCTCGTTCGCATGGCTCAATCACGTCCTGGTTGAAGTTCGTTCGTTACGCTCACTCACCTTTGGGTTGGAGCTCGTTCGCTGCGCTCACACGTCCTAGTTGAAGTTCGTTCGCTGCGCTCACTTGCCTTCAGGTTAGCTCGTTCGCTACGCTACCTCGCCTCCGGGTTGAAGTTCGTTCGCTACGCTTACTCACCTTTTGGTTTCAAATTAGCTGTTGTCAAATATTTAAAAAAAATAATAGTGCTGCACTCTGTTGGTAATCCTTGTAACTTTAATGCTATTGAACATCATAGAACAGAACCAACTTGTTTAATTGAAACAGCTGTTATGATTCATTACTTCCATTTATGAGTACTCATTAGGTTAACATGGGATAGTCCAGAGCTACTGGGGCGGAGCCCGAAAGTCCGATCAGAATAAAAACCACTTAGTTTTCCTATTTAATGCCTAAAGAATCAGTGTACCAAATTTCAACCTCCTAGGTAAGTGGGAAGTGGGAGAATTAGTGATGAGTGAGTGAGTCAGTCAGTCAGTGAGGGCTTTGCCTTTTATATATATAGAAGATGTGTGTGTGTGTGTGTGTGTGTGTGTGTGTGTGTGTGTGTGTGTGTGTGTCTATTAGCACTATAACTCGAGCAAAAAAGATCCGATTTTGATGAAATTTGGTATAAACAAACGTGTAAACCTACATTTATTCGAACGAGTTTGGGAACTAGCATGGTCATACTATGGGAATGGGGCTTTAGGGGGAGGGGATTTATCAGGTAAAAATTGATTCTTATCCCATTTTTACCCTAATTTCCAATTCAAATTCAAATATGTTTATTATGGAAATTACAACAGCTTGGCCTCACCAAGTTTAAAAAAACTTATCGGTGAGGTCCAATTGATGCATAAGGCTAACAAAAAAAGTTAAAATTTTTTTCCTTTTTCTAGAACAAAGTTTTCTTAATAAAATTAAGAAAAATTATAAAAGTAATCTTATAATTTTTCAATTATTAAATTAAACTGTCATAAAATAACCAATCAAACCAAACTTGCTGATAATGAAAACATCGAATGAAGGTTTACTAATAGAAAAAATATTTTTGTTCATAAAATCTATACTTATAAAAGCCAAAGCCCTCACTGACTGACTGACTGGCTCACTCACTCACTCATCAGTAATTCTCCCACTTCCCATTTACCTAGGAGGCTGAAATTCGGTACACCGATTCTTTGGGCATTAAATAGGAAAAGTAAGTAGTTTTTATTCTGATCGGGCTTTCGGGCTCCGCCCAAGTGGCTCTGGAGTTTCCCATGTTAACCTTATGATTTTTCATATTTAAAAGGAATTTCTTAACAGCTGTTTCAATTAAACAAGTTGGTTCTGTTCTATTATGTTCAATAGCATTAAAGTTACAAGGATTACCAACAGGGTGCAGCACTATTATTTTTTTAAATTTATGACTACAGCCAATTTGAAACCAAAAGGTGAGCGTAACGAACGAACTTCAACCTGGAAGCGAGTTAGCGTAGCGAACGAGCTAACCGGAAGGCAAGTGAGTGGAGCGAACGAGCTCCAACCTAAAGGTGAGTGATGCGAACGAACTTCAACCAGGACGTGATTGAGCCATGCGAACGAGCTTACTTGTGAAGTTAAACGGGGCAAAGCCCGCGGGTACAGCTAGTAAAATTATAAATGCCTAAAATTCGAATCAGAAATATGCGATCAAATATACTTTAAATACTTTTTTATTAAATGGCGACCATACATAGTAGGGTATTTTAAGCCAAGTATGAATGGAGATGAGTGTAGGATATGAGTGACGCGATCTTGTAGTCTTTGTTAGTGACTAAGACCGAAATTCCTTAGGCCGACATTCCTTAGACACAGCTGTTAATTAATAGCCCATACAGCTAATGGCAACTAAGGGACCTACAGTTTATAGAGGAATCCGAACCACATTTTTTTGCCTTGGTGTATACGAATTAGTCTAATTATCAAGATAGCACTGCGGGTAGTCGTGTAGTACTCACTCGTGCGAAGTTTAATCCACACCAGGGAGTATCGCATCCACAGTGCATGCCTATAAATATCCACAATTCGTATGACCTCCTAGTAACTGGATTGCAGGACGACGCCACCCGTCCCAGTCTTGTATCAAAAATTCAAAAGGCAGCCTGTTCAACAATGTTCACCATAACGTGTTCAAAAGAGTTGAGCACCTCTCTCAGCTTGGAATAGGGTCTAGCGTGGTTTAGCTATTGAAATTTTATTACAATTTCTTGTTTTATAGCTACCGGTACGTCATAGTACGTTTCTATTAACTGTTAAGATTTTTCTTTGTGTGAAGCATGCAGTTGTGAAGGATGTAGAGGCTTTACAACAGTTAAACTCTTTTCTTCTATAAAAAGAGGTCTGCAGTGATCTTTATAATCTGAATCAGTCATTATTCTAATACATTTATTTTGGGCGAGAAGTACATCGATCACAAAAGGGATATTTCCCCAGAGCAAGAGACCATAGGAAAAGGCACTTTTGAAATAGACTAAAGTAGACAGATTTAACATAGTCAGAGGATACCTACATATTTCATCAAGTGTTTTAATAAATAATTAATTCTACTTATTTTTTTACGTACACACTCTACATTCACGTTCCAGGATAATTTAGGGTCTAAGTGAATACCAAGCAACTTAACACTATGACTAGAATCTACTAAGCCAGGGTTCAAGGAGGAGATCTTGCTTTGAGTTTTCTCTAACTCATAACTCATTTATTGGACCAAAATAACAGATACAAAATTTGCATTGGTCATGTCAAATAATAGAACTAAAATTAAAATAAACAATAGACAATGTTGCTTCAATAAAACAATATCAATTACTTCTTACAACAAAAAAAACTAACTAACTAAACCCATCAGCGACACAATCTCGAACACTGTAGTAACCCTTGGCCAAGAGTATTTTTTTGATTTGCTTTTTAAAGCTGTTCAAGTCCGACTCCAGCTGAAGGGAGGGAGGGAGGAGATTAAAAAGTTTAATGCCATTGTAATGAAAGTGTCTCTTGAAAAATGTAGTTGAATGAGATGGTAATTTAAGATGAGAATTGTTACGTAGTGAATAGGAATGTGTAAGTGAAGATTGGTATTGGTGTAAGTTTTTTTTTATGAGAATCAAAGTTTCCAAAATGTATATTGAGGGAAATGTTAAAATTTGTGATGAAATAAAGTATTGCCTGCAAGATGTTCTTCTTTTCAAACCAAAGACTGCCCTAACTGCCCTCTTCTGGAGTCGGAAAAGGAAAGACGTTTTCCCACACTCACACCCCCACACCGGCACTGCGTATATCAGGTGCGGGAAAATCACTCCATAATATGCTGTAATTAGAACATCACATTTTGCAAACTTAGAAAGTTGGCGGAGAAGAAAGATTCCCGAAGAAATCCGTCTACACACAGTGTCAATATGGGAATGAAAGCGCAGGTTTCTATCGAGCACCAATCCCAAGAACTTAACCTGATCAGTTGCCTCGAGCTCAACATCATTCAAAAGGAAATTGTTTTTGTTTTTCCCAGCTGAACTTATAGAAAAATTTACAAATTCAGTTTTTCTGGCATTTAGACTCAATGAGTTGTCCTCGAACCACTGCATCATGGAGCTCGCTTGCAAAAAGGCCTTTATTTCGAGTTCATCGAAATTTTGATCAGAAACCGAGAGCGACGTGTCATCAGCAAACAGACAAATGTTTCCAGAATTTACAATTGATGGAAGATCATTCACAAAGACAAGGAACAACACCGGACCGAGGACTGACCCCTGAGGCACGCCACGAGCAGACTAGCAATGGGGTGAGCGGTAGGTATTCAGATATCCTAAGTCATCCACCGCCTGAATCATCACAAACTGTTTCCGTCCTGTAATGAATGACTTAAACCATTGCAGTGCCAGCCCTCGCACTCCAAGACAAGAAAGCTTATCAAGAAGCAATGCGTGATCCACCATATCAAAGGCTTTGCTCAGATCGAAAAAAAAACAACAGATTTGACTTACCACTCATTGGCTTCACTTATGATGCTACAGAATTCATCCCTAATTGTGGCAGCAGAGGGACTTGTTTAGAAAAAAGGTTACGTCATCTGCAAAAACGATAGAATTAGCATGAACATTAAAGATCTAGGTAATTTATTATAAGACTAGAAAAAGGGAAGGGCCTAATATCGACCCCTGCGGTACTCCATATTTTACCCAAGTTTGTTCCTAGAATACTCGTTTGGAAAAAACTTTTTGCTGCCGATTACTGAGGTATGATCTAAAAAGACAAAATTGAATGCCAATTATTCCGTAAAATTCAATTTTTTCAAAAGAATGCCATGATCCACACAGTCAAAGGCTTTAGTTAAGTCGCAAAGAATTGCGCCTGTAGGCTGGTCAAGTTCAAAGTTTGTTAATATAGATGTGATTAGCTCTCTGGCTGCATCAATCATGGACATTCCTGATCTAAAGCCAAACTGATTCTTAGAAAAAGCCAAACAACTTTAAAAAAGTTACTGACCTGAGTTTTAATAATCGATTCATAAACCTTGCCGA